GCGACGAGTCGGTAAACCCTCTCATTTACCTCTTGCCTGTAACATTTACCACGTGCTTTAACAGTTACTTCGTACATTCAACAGTTACCTCGTACAGTCAACAGTTACCTCGTACATTCAACAGTTACCTCGTTCATTCAACAGTTACCTCGTACATTCAACAGTTACCTCGTACATTCAACAGTTACCTCGTACATTCAACATTTACCTCTTGCATTTAACAGTTACCTCATACATTCAACAGTTACCTCGTACATTCAACAGTTACCTCGTCATTTCAACAAAACATTTATCTCGTACAGTCAACAGTTACCTCGTACATTCAACAGTTAACGCGTACATTCAACATTTACCTCGTACATTCAACAGTTACCTCGTATATTCAACAGTTACCTCGTACATTCAATAGTTACCTCGTACATTCAACAGTTACCTCGTACATTCAACAGTTACCTCGTACATTCAACATTTATCTCGTACATTCAACATTTACCTCGTACATTCAACATTTATCTCGTACAGTCAACAGTTACCTTGTACATTCAACAGTTAACGCGTACATTCAACATTAACAGTTACCTCGTACATTCAACATTTATCTCGTACATTCAACAGTTACCTCGTACATTCAACATTTATCTCGTACAGTCAACAGTTACCTTGTACATTCAACAGTTAACGCGTACATTCAACATTTACCTCGTACATTCAACAGTTACCTCGTACATTCAACAGTTACCTCGTATATTCAACAGTTACCTCGTACATTTAAATTTCCCACGTACATTTACTTGTCGAGTAAATTGCTGCTTGAAAAACTGAACTGTTACGACGTTAATCACTATAACGTTAGTGAATAAATTAGGTCTTAATTACAATTTATGAAGAACAAGTTTTATGAGGATCTAATAATTTGCATTCATGTCGATTAAAAATATACATTTGAATTTAAAAGACGCATCCATAAGGGTTTGCTCTTTCCAGAGGACTGATAGCACTTATTTACTGTTAACTTTACTTTCTGAAGAATACAATTAGCGAATGAAAGTTGGTTAATGGTGAAATAATTACATCACCGTAGAATTTCCACGGAATATCAATGAACTGGTCGCGGGTAATAGGATGAGGGGACAATATGCATCACATATTCGTTGTTCTTTAGCAACAAATAAAAATAACTGTAGGGACACAATTTAAATTTGTTATCAGTTTCATTCATTTTCTAGAATATCTAGCTCATTTTGGCAAACCATCCGAGCTACATATAGATTGAAATTTTCTTTCTTTATCGATTCAGTTCTCCGTATTATCACATCAGACTTGTTCGCCAATTAGTGTTTGGGGGAAGACCTCCAATAGCTGCTATTATTTTAATCTAATTTGAAATATTTCCTTGTATAATATACTTCACTTATTCATTTCAATATGTATTATGCAATTAGGATTATTGCCGTTCGTTCATTCTACAGCTGCAACCTTCAAACTTTAAAAATACACATTGATCATTATCCACTGCAAATTCGTGTAACAATCCCCGCTCGCAGTTCACTTAAATTTTAGAGGTATCGAACCAACCGTTCCGCTATATAAACATTGTAAATAAATGATAAAAAAACTATTTTTTACCAACTAGTTTTATAGAATTTTATCAAAAAATAGTTTCCATACTCCGAAAATTATTTTGGAACATAGAAAAGTTATTTGTAATGAGCTGAAATTGAACTTCATTTATAGATAATGAGGAACAAAACGGATAATGAGCCGAAAAGAATAAGTATTCTAAATTTTCATTAATTGTATCTAACGAGCCGTAAAACTTACCAATTTATTTCTAACGTAAGTAATATGAACATGGCACCTGCTGCCATTTATTAAAATTCTGCAGCATTTCTAAATGCAAACACGGCGCGCTTCAGGCAGTCGTTTATGGCGCAAAAATTGTCGGCAGGAACGCATATTTTACGACGCAGCTTTGTAAAGGGAAAGTTTTTAATGCGCGCCAATAAAGTTGTAATGACTTGCATAGAAATGCATTCTGCCTATTAAATGCTCATCAATACGAGCAAAATAAGAAAGTAATTCGCAAGAAAAAGTAAATGCTGCGATGCCAAATTCGCCAGTGTGGAACGCAAGCAGTAAATAAAGAGATTAACTGGACAAGCGCGTTGAGACCTCGCAGTCCTTACGAGATTAGGGAGCATTTGTCTGGGCTCCTTAGCTGCTCTGTTAAACCTGCACTAAAACTAATAAGTAGCTTAGCGCTTACAACACAGAATAAGGGGAATTACGACTCCTCGTGATAAAGGGAGTACCTACTCCTCTTAATAAGAGGAGTAGGTAAGTACTCCTCTTAATAAGAGGAGTACCTACTACTCCTAATGACAGAAGTTACTCCGCTGGGTAAGTAGATTACCAGCGTCTCTTAATTATGAAAGGTAATATACTCCTTTTACCATAATAAGTACCTGTTTTTTCATTATGAGAGGAATGACTCCGAAAATCGTAGCCAAATACAAATCCAGTGCTGGTTTCTGGGTCTAGAGAATATAAAGAATAATAATATTACACATTTTCTCATTGAATGGAAAACGAAGTAGGAATAGTGTAAAAATTAATGTCGATCTTCACACAAAGCAAAGCACATTCTTAATAGATGATATTACACACATGTACTATTTTTTCTGGAAGTAATTTTCCCAGTAATATTACACAGGAAAAAAAGTAAAGTTGAGCGGGAAAGTTTCTAGGGGACCACTGCACCCACTCAAAATTCGATGCGTACACGTTACTCACTGTCGCGTCGTTCACGCATACTCACGCATCGGCAGCGTATTGTTAATTTACATTAAAATTCTAAAGGAACTGATTTATCACCCTACATCTTTCACGATTATTGCGAGAAATAGAATTTATTCAGCGCCTGTGGAGAAATTTCCGAAAAATTGGCGTATAGGCTTCAGATAAAAAGATAAAACTGAATACTCGGCGCAGATTCGGAATCATTGCCCCCATACATGCAAGATTCGCGATTCGCCACGTGATGCAGGATTCAGGTACTACTATGCAGGATTCAGGTCCTACTAAATGCAGGATGCAAGAAGCACTAGATGTCAAAATTTTATATGTTGAACTGCATATAAAATTTTGCAATCACTGCTGCAATATATTAGTAGCGCTTGATATAGTATTAAAAGCTAGCCCAAAATTTATTATTTTTACTGTGTTAAAGCAAGATTCATGCATCACGGTGAACAGGATTCCAGTAGCACTAGATGAAGGAATCAATGGGCTATAAACGCAATATTTAAACACATTTTACATGATTCAGGAAACACGATACTGGATTCAGGTAGCCATAGATGCAGAATAAAGATATCACTTGATGTACGATAAAAGAAGCGCTAGAGGCAGGATTATGGTATACCTAAATAGGATTCAGATTTTGCTATGATCTAAGTATATCATCATCCCTAGCCACCGCGAGGTCACCCTGCCCTAACGACCACCTCCAACTAATTAGGTCCTTGCGAGTGAAAGAAACCTTTGAAAATCCGAGCATTGCGACGCTCTGCCCGAGCGTGAGCGGTAACCCTGTAATTAAGAGGCACCTTATTTTTAGCTCAACTGTTAGGTAGAAATTACCACAAATTGCATATGGCACCAAAGGTGGGAAAAGATTGCCGCAGCTGTGAGGCTTGCAAGGTTATCAAAATTACAGGTGCCACATATTCCTGCAGTAGTGTTCACTTTCCGAGACACTTCAAGAAAATCTGTACGTAAGGAAAGGAAATTGTGGCAACTTCAAGGTTTTGTAGATTAGTCAAGTTTTCATTTTAATGTCTGCGATGTAAGTGGTGTGTTGATCGCTGTACATCAAATGTAAAGATAATTTCCTAAAGCCAGAATCGGCCATAATGATGTACATGAGCCGCCCTCCTATGTAGGTAGAGGAAATATGAAGTCGGGACATCGCTTGTAAGCATATATACGTCTTTGGAATCTTTCAAAATCATATAATCGCCGCATAATATGGTTTTTCAAATGGTTCTTTTCTAAGAAATTCATTTTGTGCAAGATGCCTGGACTCTCAAAGCATCTTCGTAGATAAACCGAAGCTCCTTGCAAAATTCAGTTCTCAACATTATCCGCCAGCCAGAAATCGCAATACAAAGAGGGACGGAAAATTATTTCACGTCGAGAAAATATTTTAAAAGAATCCTCAGCTCGATTCCTATCCTTTCTTAAAGATTTTATCTTCAGCACTTGTCCGATGTCACGAGCGCCAATCTGGAAGCGATCTTCTCGAAGTAATTTTTAAAAAATATATAAAAAGAATTTATTTTGGCGCTCTCGGGAGCATTGGTTGCTCAAAGAACTATGGGCTCAGTAAATATTAAAGACTCGTAGGTCCATCATTAAATTCAGAGGCGCAACCCAGATCGCAAATGCGTTATCTCTTGCACGAGAGACAAGTGAGTTTGTTCAAATTTCTCAGTGCGATAGCCATATTCATTTCTCGTTACAGCTCTCAATTAGCTAGTTCTCTCATAAAGGATCCACATAATGGCAATCCTTCGTCAAAATTGCATAAAAGAACACAAGCAAAATAGTCGCATTTTGATTTATGCTGATATCATGCAATGAATCATGAAAAATAATTTTCTATGTTCATTTATACGTATAAAATACGCTGTTGTGGAAGCCTCGGCCTCGGACTTCTCGAGAAAGCCTTGGCCAAGAAGGCAAAGGCTTCCATCACTCAACAAAGAAGCCAGCGCACCTCGACTGTTAATTTTTCTTAACTACATTAAATTGCATTGATATGATGTATATTGACCAACTTTAACTCACAGATAATAATAGCAGTATAACAATGCTTTCATATATATATAACAAATATAAGGAAAACAACGAGACTTCGTTCTCAGTCATGTGCAGGTTTCAACTAAAGCGGTTGATCAATCAAAATACATCATTACAAAAACAACAAATTTATTGAAAAATATTAAATAACACGAGAATTATTTCGTTTAATTTTTAGCGAAAATAAGTTAGTTCAGAGGAATTTTCTACCTCAATTGATCATTTTCGAAAACAATAATACACAAAGTTACCAGGACGGATTTAAAAAATTTATGTTATCATACTTTCAATATTATATTTCGGGCGAACCAAATAACTTATTGAAACAGCAGTCGAGATTTGACAACACAAAACTCTATGAAAAGTAAGATACGTAGAAGCTCGGGGTGATAAGAGGCCACGTAAATATCTAGACCACAAAAAATACAAAATATGAATACATTAAACAAGGTTATAACGGAAATAAATGCCTACGTAGCAAGGAATTAAAAGTGTTTTAAATATGTTATAACTGAATAAAGATGAAACGGTAAATGAATACCATCATGTAATTACAATAAATTCTGAGAGATTATAATGTAATAGGTAATTGATAACATGTCCATACGAAACCTACAGCGTTTATTGTTATACGCATGGAAACCAATAGCACCACAATAGTCAAAATCAAATAAGAAATCAATTCCTGGCTGAGCAATATTTTAGGGAAGTGAACAGAGCTGAAATTTGAAAAAATAATGTTCACTAATCCAATGCGGCGAAAAATGCAAAAAAATGTAATAATTTAAATAGTAAATGATAAGCGAAATAGTTTTTCTTAAACTAAATTTTTACAAATTTAAAATTTGAAAGCAGCGAATCCAGCAACTTAGTCGTTCGCTTTATTTCTTTCTACGACCTCGCTTGAACTTATTTTTCTTCTCATGTCTGGACTCGTAATGACGCTGACACAGTTCGTACGTAGCAAAAGATGCGCCGCAGACAGTGCATTCGTACGTCTCGATTTCCGTGTCCACGTCGTCACTTGTTCCGCCCTCAACAGGCACAAATTCATAACCCAGTTGGTCAAAGCTTTCAGAATTAACTGAATCATCAAACTTTAGGGGACTTTTCTCTTCCTTGACGACGAGGGAAGTAATGCTAGGCATGTTGTCCGCGGGGCTGTCAGATTCGTGGGCTAACTTACAATGTGACTGCAACGAGTCCTGCGAGTCAAAACGGTCATCACAACTGAAGCAATCGAAAGACGTCTCAAAAGAATCTATTGGCTCCAGCTTGATTGAGTCTTTGATGGGCGTTTCATCAATATATAAAATTTTATTAGCTTCTTCATCGGATTCATTGGGTAACAGGACGATACCTTTACCGACGCAGTCTTCGGCAGAAGATGAATACGGTATTTCTTTTTTTACCGACTCGTTAGTATGCTCGTTGTGTTTTTCAATCAAATGTTGGTTGAGCTGACTAATGCGCTTGAATGCCTCAGCGCAGATATAGCAGGAATGTTCCTTCAAATTATGGAAAATTTTCATATGTATTTTAAGGGCCTTCTGGTCAAAAAATTTAAAGTCACACTCGGTGCATTTCAGCAGCCGCGAATTGCCTTTTCGTTGGCATCCATCAGCGATGTGACGGACTAAAAAACGCCGCTGCTTAAAACCTTTAGAACACGATTGACATTTGTAAGGCTTGTTTCCACTGCGAGCATTGCCATGAAACTCTCTCCTGTGCTTCTGCATGTGCCTGTTATAGCGTCCCGTAATCCAGAAGTCTGTCTCACAAATGTGACACTTCAAAGGAACGTTCAAGTGCATGTCTTTGTGTTTACGTAAGCTGTCAGGCAAGACGTACGCTACGTTGCACAGATCACATCTGAAGTTCTGCTTGCCTTCGTGCAGGCGCATATGATCTATCAGATGACGCTTTAACATAAACGACCGCGTGCATAGCTCACAATTGAAAGGTTTGAGGTTATAATGACGTAACATGTGCGCCTTCTTGTGAGAGTAATACATGAAAGTTTTGCTACACAAATTGCATGAAAGAGGTCTCATCGTACCATGCGCTCGCTCGTCATGCTTCTTGATGGAGTCCTTGCTCACGGCTGTGTAAGAACATTTGTCACACTTGAATGGTTTCTCTCCACGATGTATTTTGTGATGAACAATGAGGTAAGCCTTCGTTGAGAACTTTTTATTGCAGTATTGACAAGCCCATTTCTTCTCTGAAGCGAGCTGATTAGCACCCGGGAACTCAGGATGCATTTGGCTAATATGCATTTTGAGACCCAATGCCGAGTTCAAAATGACACCGCAAATGATACAATCAACGTCGTCTTGCGAATGTTTAGTGAGCTCGTGAGAGTTCCGTTCATTGATGCTATTGAACGATGCAGAATTGCAAAATCTACAGGCAAACTCTTTTGGATTGGTGTGTTCTTCCATATGTTTTTTCCGGCTAGTTCTGTGATTGAAAGTTTTGGGACAGAAGTCACAAGAGAATGGACTAACACCAGAATGTCTCAACATGTGAGGCTTAAGGTTTCCTTTCTGAGAAAACCTCTTGCCACAAATCTTACAAACGTAAGGCTTTACGCCCCAATGTTTTTTAGCGTGACGCATTAAATCGGCATTAGTTAAGCAAGCAAATTTACACACGGTGCACTTGAAAGGCTCACTGGGGGATGAAGCTGGCGGACTGGGGTGCTCCGCAACTACAACTTTCTTTTCATTTACTGGACTAGAATGCTTCTGCTTCATGTGACGCTCCAAGCGTTCCTGAGTGGCACACTTACGCTTGCAAGTTTCGCATTCAAACCACAATTGTTCAGTGCTTGGTGTGAACACCAGATTCTTCTGGAGTTCTTCATATTGTTCATTGAAAGCGTCACTGTAAGTGCAGCCATATTCACTCAGAACTGATTTTCTCTTCAGGTCGTCCTCTGATATCACTGATATTGACATCTTTCAGGATTCAGATTGTCCACTTGTAATTATATGTCACGGCACGGCACCCAATCTGAAAAAAATTGTGAATACATCATTATTTTGAAAAATTGCAAATACAACAAGAGCAAAGAGAATCCTTCAATGACAGAGGAACAATTGAAACGCATATAGAGCTCAAACTTGACCCCTTATGAAAAATTATATTCAAGAAGTGCGAGATCACCCGGCAATGCCAGGGATATACGGTATTTCAGAATATCGTCATCCCGAGTCCAGTCCTTTCCTATAGAGTCCAGTCCTTTCCTATAGAGTCCAGTCCTCTCCTATCGAGTCCAGTCCTCTCCTATCGAGTCCAGTCCTTTCCTATAGAGTCCAGTCCTTTCCTATAGAGTCCAGTCCTTTCCTATAGAGTCCAGTCCTCTCCTATAGAGTTCAGTCCTCTCCTATAGAGTCCAGTCCCCTCCTATCGAGTCCAGTTCCTGCCGAGTCCAGTCGTTTGAGTATTAACAAAAGGTTTAATGATGCATATACCAATCACAGACAATCGAATTAGAAGAATTTCAGTTATTAAAATGAAACGTAAATCAATGAGTTCATATGAAAAATGAAAAAGCATGAAATACAAGATTTTATTCTATTCCAATGATGAAAAGAGTTTTCTTGGCTCTGATATGGATTATCAAAATGGGAAAATGGGTAGGTACTAGACATCCGAAAGTTGCCTAAGCTTATGGTGAATGCCGATATGAAAAGCAAGATATGGTATGCAGGGAAACAGATTATCTGCTTAGGGATGACATTTGCTTCTTTCCACTACCGTACCTTCCTTTTTAGCAATAATGTCACAGCAGGACTTGCAGCAGTAGCTGGTCATGGACTTTGGCTCATCAGCTTCAAGAAATATATTGGTGGAATGCTGACCTCTGAAAATGAAAACTATGCGATTTGCTCATAGAAGTATCACTTTACCCGTTTGTTTGGTTATGAGTGATAATTTTTAACTCACATTTTTAACCCACTTTATAATTCCCATCAATTTTTGTTGACTATAGTACTTATTGTAGACTACACATGCATTTTCTACAGCAGTTTTTGCCAACAAGATGAATAGTTTGCAGTACCACTTCATGGTTCATCTTGATGCAGTATTGCAAGATGTCATTGTGACTCATTGATATAATGTACCAAACTCACAAGTTTAGCAGTAGGTATTGAACTTTAGATTGTTTTGTAGCTCAAGCATCACAGTAACATTACAATTACATTTAACCAGAAAACTTGGTTATTTTAAGCATCAATACTTATTAAATGCATATTTTATTGCAGTCCTATGATAAATACCATGTACCTCATATGACGCACAATGAACCTGAAAGAAAGTACCTAGTTTCCATTCCAGGTGATATGCACCAAAAGAGGCTAATGGTTTTCAAGTCAGAATCTTTTAAACGCAACTTAGACAAGAGCGCCAAACTACCTGCCAAGTCTGTACCTAAAGTTATTAAAGTTTGAATGAGTTGCATAGATATCTAGTTGGCTATTTTGGGAGTTGCAATCAGTGTGTAAAAGGCCAACAAGTTACCGTATATCATACATGAAATGCTGCGTTGAAAATTAAACATGATAGTGCACGGTAATTTTGTACTCCACTGATATTTATCATATAAGTATCACTGGAATAGAAAAAACAGCAAATACCAAGAATTTTTCATCTCTATTACAGCTGCTTCAGAAGGTGTAAAGTGTGGACTGGACATAGAATCCAACTTATAGTGGCTCATGGCCAGCTTGTACCTATATTTTCCAATAGGAAAAAGTTTGTCAATATTTTAAAAGTCAAGCAACTCTGTAAATTCAGCTCAAACACTTGATGAAAATATAATCCTTTATGAGTTTAAATCATTTTAACAAGGAAAATTATATAATAGGTGTTTTTATATATGAATTGGATTGAACTAGGAACATGGTCATAACACAGCTGTGCAAAAGTTTTCTGGCATCTCTTATTGATATTCTTAACATTTTTCATGATTTTTGTAGAACCCCAAAATTTAGACAGTGTACGGTATGCATAAAAACTATTGCCACTTAAATAATTCATGTTCTGTTAATTAACAAAGACAAAATTTAAAGTTTTTTATGTACTTTGTGGCACCATGAGTGAAATTCAGCTGAACCAGTAAACAAATATGATGGCATGGGTGGTTACAATTCAGATTCCTCTTTCCATTTCAAACATGACTTGACCAAATTAAGTTGTCATTTGAACAAGGGGATAAGGAGAAAAGGATCCTGTGCATCAAACATAAAATTCTCCTCTTTGCCATTCCAATGATTTGTTATGCTCTGTATATACATGGTTTTTGCACATAGTACCAAGTTACTGCATTAATTTTCGTCTCCAGAGCTGAGGAGCAGAAAAAAAATAAATTGTTATAATACGTATCTGGGATATCAATAGAAATTTTACTTAATAAATGTGTACTAAATACGTGCTTGCCATTGATATTTTCTAGCTACATTCCTTCATAGCAATATATTTCCAATAAATTTGGAATTAGGAATGAAACTAGAGCCTTCCTGCCCTTTTCATAATTGCAAGATTCCTGCTAGATGAATTAGCTCTTATCTAATTATTAACTAAAGGGCACAATCAGGCAGCAAGATTCCAAATGTATATTAAATTTATCACCTTAGAGCTGCAAGATTTCATAAACAAGAAGAAAATTACGATCCTGTACATAGCCGCATAGATGACATCTTATTTGGAATATTGTGCAAAATTTTCTAAAATTGAGGGAAAACTTTTATTTCACATATGATTTTCAAAAATCCTAGCTAAAGATAGGCCCTTTCTGTATTTTCTACAGAGAAATTTTAAAAATGTCATTGGAACAGGTAAAATTGGCCAGATTTACAGTCATGTTTGTCCAATTGATGGGTGGCTTCTGACCATTTTCCACTTTAAGATGGCATCTGCTTGATTTTTAAGTTTGACTCCAGCATTTGAATGGTACCAGGCATGAAATATACCGTACTGGTACTGGTATCTCCCATTTGAGCAGCAACTTGAGCTTCCCTACCATTTTTGGAGCTGCAAGATTCCATCTAGTGATCTAGAATAAATTCTAGATGAATTAGCCTATCTCCTAACTAATTATCAATAAAACTGCATAATCTAGCCACAAGATTCTTAATGCATTAAAAATTGCTCACTCTGGGGCAGCAAGACTTTATTTATAACTTATAAGTAGGAAAATTGTACTCTAAAGCCAATCTATGCTATTATGTAAAAAATGTTTCAACTTTGCAGTTAGAAACCTTTGGTTTAGAAAAATCTTCAAAAATTATAGGCAAAAAAGTGGTATCATATTTCTTATCTTTTTCAGGAAATTTTGCAAATATCATGAAAATGGATAAAATTATGTATAATAATGGGCATTTTTGTCTTATTCACAGGTCACAGCCAGCTAGCACAAAAGCAGGTGGCTTTTACCAAATTTTCCAACATGGCATACACGATGAATTGATAATACAAGTTAATAATTATTTGGATTGTTCAATCCAGCCAGGACCAGTCTCACCAGTCAGTCACAAGTCAGGCATGGAATATATCTACTTGGCAAGCGGCGACTGAATTTTTCAAGCCGTGGTTTTATGGATTTGCCAGCCGTGATTCCATTTCTTCAAGCCGTGATTCCATTTCACCGAGCCATGAATTCCATAGTATCTCGGCCATGAAAAGCCATTTACAAGGCGTGAATTTACTTACAAAGTCCATGTACGTGTTACCCCAAATCTCTAATTTTACCCTAAAACAGTCAAACGGCAACAATAAAATTTGTCTGTACTGTAAGTTGAGCACATGTTAATGCAATCTGACCGCTTTGACATGACCGCAACTATGCCCGAGCTTCAACAAAACGTTTACCGTAAACTGGGGTAACTTTGACCACTTTTTTTCAAAATGATGCCATTTTTTTAATAGATAAGTTAAACTTAAATTGAACCATGCAAAATACAGGTCTATACTCTAGCTTTACTCACCATAAATTGCTGGCTCCTGCCTCTCATAGTTTTGATGTAATTAAAAAAAAATCGCTGGTCTTTTTTACCCCAGCTCTGGGGGTATCTTTGACCGGGTGGTAAAATCAATTTTATTTTTTGGTAAAATAACTCCATGCATTGTAGTAGAACTTTTCTAGTTACATATGCAAAAGAAAAATTTTAGGAAAGTGTCATAGTTTGCAAATGGGGGGCGCTGCCCCCAAATGGGCAAAATGTGACCATCTAATGGCAGCCGTGACGGGGTAACATTGACCGGTTTGGAAATTAAGTTGAAATTACCATATATAAGACTCTGTAGAGTCTGAAACATGAAGAAAAAAACATTAATAGGTGTATCAAACATAAAATATGTTATATAGGTACGTACCTATGGTGATTTTAACTTAATTTCCAAGCCGGTCAATGTTACCCCATCACGGCTGCCATTAGGTGGTCAAAGTTACCCCATTGGGGGGCGGCACCCCCCATTTGCAAACTATGAAACTTTCCTAAAATTTGTCTTTTGCATATGTAACAAGAAGAGTTCTACTGCAATGCATCAAAACCTGGAGTTATTTTACCAAAAAATAAAAAAATTGGAGGGGGTACTCCAACAGGCTTTAAATAATAGCTCTTTTTTGTGGGTCACATTTTTAATTTTTTAACCTATTAGATAAGTAAACTTTGTAAATCTTTCTATTGTGTTACGTAGCCTCAGTATTAGGCCTTTAATACCCATTGACAAAATTTTTCTATGTCAAATAGTTTTTGAGTTTTGGGGGTTTTTGTTAAAAAAACGAAAAGTGGTCAAAGTTACCCAGGGAGTCAAAGTTACCCCAGTTTACGGTACCTAGTTGATTTGTTTACATTACAATGTTTACGTTTTTTCTGCAGGACATTTTGGCTGGAAATTGGAATGGTAAAACAAAGCAGATTGTGCAAGCTGAAAATTTTATGAAATGACATGTTTGCAAAGTGCAAACCGCGATTTTTCAATCAAACAAAAATTTATGACATTCAAGCCGCAAGATTTCATACTTAATGAAATTATATGATATTAGAGCCACAATATTTCAGACAAAAATAAGACTTTTCCAGCCCTGTCACAAGTTAGGTACATAATCCACACTCAGGATTATGTATGTTTTCAGGGAATTTTCCCGCGCATTTTGACTTTTTTCAAGCTACTGCGGCGCACAGTTGGTGCAACTTCTGGCCATCCCTGCTTGCACGCGCAAGCGTTGGCGCAGCACGTGCAAGCGTCGGCGCAGCGCGCGCAAGCGTCGACGTAGCGCGCACATACATTTTGTCAAGGGACAAGAGACAGAAAATATATAATACCTAATAATTAATATGCATTTAATTATCCATTAATAATCTATGATTTTCCTTGATATGGAAATTTTGTGAAAGCAAAAATCTAGAAATTTATTTTCAAAGAAATTTTCTACAAATTTCTTATACGAACTGGTGAACATCGTTAGTGTTTGTTTACCTTCCGTAGACCGTCTGGTCCGGACGTGAGGCAATATTCAGTCCGGATGTGAGGCAAGTGGTGAATAACCAAGTCCTCAGAAATTGGACATATGAAGTAAACAAATATTAGTGTTAAATGACAGATTTTGCTCGTTCTATATATACTATTATTGCGCTGATAGGGTTATTAGAGATTCTACGATTAATGAAAGGAGTCAGAAATAATTTCATCATTGTAATTAATGGAAAAATAGTTTTGAGTGCGAAATCTATGTAAATAAAATATGTCCTGACATACGTAACTGTCATCAGAAATTCCCAACATCGTCTTTACATACTTTTACGCAATGCTGCTTCATCGTCATGTGATAACGTCTCGGACAAATTTACGGCTGTACTTGCGGCCCGTTTCGCGGCTGGACTCTGCCTGAAATTTCTCCAATAGTACTGAACGTAGTTCAATGAAACTTGGTACACATATTCATTATGGCCTAACGGTGATGTCAAGCTCGTGACAATTATTTTTAATATCGCCTTCATTTATGAGTTATATGACGAAACGTACCAAAATTTGCAGTGTACCACTAGTACGTCTCGGACAAATTTGCGGCCGGTCTCGCGGCCGCCGGACTAAAAACATAGAAAAAACCTAGCCAATCAACGAAAACCTCGCAGGTTAGGTCCAGTTAGGAACAGGTTCCATTAAAAACACATAAAACCTAGAAAAACTCATAAAAACACTAAGAAAACCTTTTGGTCGCGAGACTGGCTGCCAGTCCGGCTGTAAATTTGTCCGAGACCTGTGTACCAGCCATTTCTTCTAAAATACTGAACAGATTTTAATGAAACTTTGCATGTAGAAACCTAACCTCCCAACGGTGTGATGTTTAGCTCGTGACAATTTTTTACGTTTTGCCTTCGTTGGATCGTGATTTAAACAGCAAAATTGTGTTTAAATTCGCAGTGTACCAGAGATTTCTTCTAAAATACTGAACAGATTTGAACGAAACTTTGCATATAGAAACCTAGCTTCCCAATTCCAACGGTGATGTTTAGCTTGTGACAATTTTTTCTATTTTGCCTTCATTTGCGAGTTATACGGAGAAACGACCAGCATTTCTCAGGCCAATTTTTGAACTTGCATTGACCAAGAGCCATATACACAAAGCCGTATAACTCGCAAACGAAGGCAAAATTGACAAAATTGTCACGAATTAAACATCACCATTGGGAAGTTAGGTTTCTCTATGCAAAGTTTCGTTCAAATCTGTTCAGTATTTTAGAAGAAATCTCTGGTACACTGCGAATTTAAACACAAATTTACTTTTTAAATCACGAATGAGGGAAAAGAGAAAAATACTCATCAACAAAGGCAAAACGTAAAAAAATTGTCACAAGCTAAACATCACACCATTGGGAGGTTAAGTTTCTATGTGCAAAGTTTCGTTCAGATCTGTTCAGTATTTGAGAAGAAATATCTGGTACACTGCTAATTTCAGCACATTTTGTCATAGAGCTCACGAATGTAGGCAATATTAAAAAGAATTGTCACGCGCTTCGGCGCTTGACATCACCGTTAGGGTACGCACACAGTGAAAGCAGGTTTGCCTGCGCGGGCAACCTGCTTCAACCTGCCACAAGAATGAACATAGGATAATCATGTAACTGTTCACAGTGAAAACCTGTACGGATAGGCTTCTGTATTCTTAGTCTCGGTTCAGGCGCCAGCCTGAGCAGGTAACCAGCACGCTGGCAATCTGCTTTCACTGTGTGCGCACCCTTAGGCCATAATGAATATGTGAACCAAGTTTCATCAAGCTATGTTCAGTACTTTGGGAGATATTTCAGGTACAGAGTCCGGCCGTAAATTTGTCTGAGATGCATAGTGGCAAAGCAGAGAGTTTTTTAGACTCTCCCTCAAGTTCATTTTTGAGTCCTATAAGTAGACCAGTAAAGTATCATGCATAGTGGCAAAGCAGAGAGTTTTTTAGACTCTCCCTCAAGTTCATTTTTGAGTCCTATAAGTAGACCAATAAAGTATCCTGGATACCAGCATTATCATACATAAGAAATTAGTTTAAATCTCGAGTAAATGAGGAAATTAAAAATGAACTGATTCTAAAAATGCTCTGGTTTGCCACTATGCTGAGATGTATGAGTCTCTTGAAGCTATTCATATTTTATTAAAGTTTGTTGTTAGTCTATATAATTAACCTTCAAAGTTGTGAAAAATGAGAACTGACAATTTAAAAAAAAAAGTGCAGTGCATGTATTTTTGTTTTCAATGGGTTTGCACCGCACAAACCCATTTCTCCAGCCGGTAGGATGTCGGGAACGCAACGTATTCCTGACATTGACATTCGGGTTTGTACTATTTGCCAAAGTCAGTCCTTCGTCGGGCGCTAATACCTTCGTCGGTGCTGCGCCGTATCTTAACCAAGTAAGTAAGTCCTTCGTTAAAAGGAGCCAATCTCAAGCCATGTGGATTGTCGCCTTCTACTATTCAGTTTTGTAATTAATTTCCAACCGAATTGTGATCTATGAATAATTATTGAGAACGCTGCCGACTCTTAGAACCTGAGTTAACACGTTAGAAATCTAGTCAACGCGATGCAGATATATGTTCGTGCGTGATAGCGTTGCCGCGCATTCATCTTTAAACAACTTTAGTAGCACGGCGCAGGCTGGCGCACGGTGCACTTTTTTACCGGCATATTTTGGCGCACGGCGCAAATTGATGCAATGATAATAAAAATTCCCGCGCACCTGGCACATCTTCCTGACCGTGGGGTACATTAGCTAAGCAGCCTAAGCTAGAACCCAAAAATTTAGGTAATATTTTTTTTTTGGTTTGATTACATCCCAGAATTTAACCATTAACACTGCTTCAATATTAAAATTTATATAAATTTTCTTGGCGTTAGATCAAACAACAGGAATGGATATTAATTTTCGATTTGGTTGATAATCAATAAGACACACTTTGACTTCAACTGACAGTCTGACAAATGAACCATACAAACATCTATGTTCTTTAAAACAACTTATAAATTTAACTCACACTCACTTGGCGCGAAGATACTATAGTTTTTAATTGAGAGGTCAGTGATACAGAAATTCTACAAAAACGTAAGCCTCTTCTCTTCAAACTTCAATGGCAACGGGCCACTAGCTTAGCTGCAGCTCATCAGTCATCACCCCTTCCACAAAGTAAGTAGAAATGACTTCGACCGGCATTTTCAGCATCCGCAAGAACATAACATAACAAAAAATAGTGACCGGCGCTAAAGAGTAAGTCTGGTGTGGCCTGTCGCCGATTCTTGAACTTTTCGTGACGTTCACAAAAGATCTAAAATCGTGTCATTTGACCGGATCTTTTCAAGACTGACGATAATTTGAAATTGCTACTAGACTTCCACTGGGTTTGATATGGTGCAAGGCATTTCAAGTCTGAACATTTTTTTGCTATAGCTTATTGCCTATATAGTATATCTAGTCTGTTCTTGAACGCGTTCATACTCGTAGCGCCAACGATATAATCAGGGAGTCTGTTCCACATGTCGGTGATTCGAAGCGAGAAGAAATGTTGTCGCGTGGGCAAGTTGCAGTGCTGTTTTTAACACGTTTTTCTTAGCTTAGCTTCGCGTTTGTTTGTTTGTTAAAACGTTTTTCTTAGCTTAGCTTCGCGTTTTTTTGTTTGTTTGTTGTTAACATTGACAACGAAAATTAGCCCACTTCTGATTGCTCTAGAGATCTGAAATTCGGCATGCAGGCTATTTTCGCCTAACAATTTCAGATACAATCATAAAAACTTGCTATTAGAGACCTAAATTAGCTTAATCGAGTAAAGTATATATATATAGTATATATATATAGTATGACGTGCGGGCGCTGACGTTATAGACGAGCAGGCGCTGACGCTGCGTATCATCGATACGTACGTCAAGTCATGCTTTTTAGTCCGTGCAGCAACGGACTAAAAAGGAGAAAATAAAATACTTTAAAATACTTTTTAAAAAAACACGTTTTTCTTGTGGACTAAAAAGTAGAAAATAAATTATGGCTCGCCCCAAAAACGTGGCTCGGGCTGTACGTTCACCATCAAATTTCCAAAATTCGTGTGTTGTGTGCTTTTCGCTTTAATCATAAATCTGCCCGACACACGTTTTTTGGGGCGAGCCATAATTTATTTTCTACTTTTTAGTCCACAAGAAAAACGTGTTTTTTTTAAAGTATTTTTATGGATTTTATTTAGTTTATAGCCATGGCCCCTGGTGTTGGTTCTTGTTTGAAATTCTAGTAATCCTTCTGGGACCTTGTATAAAGCATGAGTATACGTATACTTGTATACTTCAATGAGGTCCCCCAAGCAGACGTCGATAACTGAGGCTTGGAAGCTTCATAATTTTTCTTCAAAGGACTTGCCCTTCAAGCCTGGAATTATCCTTGTTGAACGTCTCTGAACATTTTCTATTACATTATTGTCCTTTTCAAATCTCGTTGACCACACAACGTTTCCAAACTCTAGATTCGGGCGCACGACAGCAACAAAAAACTGCTTCATCGCTTCTACACCTAGGAACTCTTAAGAGCGTCTGATTAGACAAGAAAGTTTGTTGAATGTATTAGCTATCGTTTCTACATGCTTAGAAAATTTCAGCTCCTTGTCGACATAAACTCCGAGATCTTTTTCCGCACTAGAGTTTTATTCGATGTTTAATTTACTAGTTTTTGAGGAAGGACGGGTGTAGCCGAAAAAGAATATGAATGTATACATAGTTTAATAAACACGTGAGAAAAAAGGCATACGTTAGTGGCGTGAGAGTGAGGAATGGAAAGAAAATCTAGCCTCAAATTGTACCAGATTAAAACAATACCTAAGTGTAGATATACTTGTATGTAATAGGATCAAGGGTATGTCCTTCTTTCCATGCTAGAGCCGTAGCGTTAAGTGTAAATTAACGTACACACAAGTGGAATTAGTGAAGAGAGGATGAGTGTTTTTAGGCGATGGAAGTGTAAATTAAATCTAAAGCCCCTGATTGGGCAATGACACACATTGCAATCATTATAAAATAGCCAGTGGAAGTCTATCAGAGTTTTCGAAAACAGATGAATTTTCCCATATAATTTATTTTTGCCTCTAATGAAGATGACAGTTTTTGGCGCATTTTCTAATCTATGGAAAAAATGGGCTATTGTGCTCGTCATGTCCGTCCGTCCGTAACGTCCGTCCGTGGGCAAAGTCACACACACTCGTGTCTCTGAGTGCAAGGCCAGCTCCCGGCACGTCACGGACGGATGAGAAAATGCGCTCTCTGTCACTCACTGCTATGAGTACTGATCTAACTTTTTTACTTTATGAAATCAGGGTTCCGTCCGTGGACAAGCATACTAGAGGTCGAAATAGCCTATGAACTTATGTGTCAAAAGCCACAGTAGCCGTAAAATCACAGCCACTGCCGAATCCAGACTTATTTCACAAATTACAAGCCTCCGTAATTCTACCTCAACTCCCAGCACGCCTTCCTTCCCAAATTTGAACTAACTGGACCTAAAATTTTCATCGTTGGCAAGTGCAGGTGAAGAGGGAGGTATACCCAGCTATCGGCTAGAGAAAGAGTCGAGATCTCGGCCAAGTGAGCCGAGAATTTGTGATATAATGCCATATAGTTTTTGCTGACTCATACGGTAATTAAATTGGATATGGATATGATCATACACTTTAATAATGTTTAATGTATCTTCTTAATATTGTTTCTCCGCATTTTCTTATTTATGAAAAAAGTCGCTATTGTGCTCGCCATGTCCGTCCGTCCGTCCGTCCGTTCGTCCGTCTGTCTGCCTGTGACTTCACGTTACCGAGTATCCATGATACTCGGCAACGAGAAAATGCGCTCTCTGTCACTCACTGCAGTGAGTACTGATATATTTTTTCTGAACTAAGACAGGTTTTAGAAGATACGGGGCGAAACTTGTCTGCTTTACGGCTATATAGCGCAGTCTGTGGTTTTTTGCTTCGAGGTTGAGAGCAGCACTTGCAAGCTGATGCATGGCGTGGGCTCCAACATTTGTTGGGTAGCATTAAACCGATTCTGGTGGTGTTGCCGATGCAAGACCACCAGAACTTGGCAGCTGAGTTTGTGGCCCGCGGCTGCTTCCCTGCAGATGTAAAGGTCGAGTCTATAAGGTAGCTGCACCTCCCCCTCCCATGCAATCAACACTCATTTCGACGAGAAAGCTGCTGAATATAGATAGTTTAATCATAGGCAGCATTTCTTCTCGCAACACGTGATTGATCGTTGGAACAGCCTGCCAGCGGAGATAGCCGAGACACCAATGATGAACGCCTTGAAGAATAGACATGACTCGGTCATGCATTGTTACATGTAAAGTATGAAGCAGCTTTCCACCAGAATTCGACTACCGGACAGTTTAAATACCATGTGCAGTGTTGGACATTGCCTTGGCCATGGGCCATATGTTTCACCGGTGGGGGGAAATTTCAAATTTATTACCGCGTCATGACAATAAGTTCAATGACTGCATTAGTCTAACCAGCATACCATTGTTAAAGAAAACACTTCAGTAGTAAGATAAGAATATTTACTGGTTACACATGCCCATGACTTATGAGGCTCTCAAACCTGCATTTGTGGTAATGAGATAATTTTTATATACCTATTGATGTGAACACATCGAGGCTTCGCGTATAGAGGATATTATGCATAACTTACATAAAGTATATGGTTCAGCAATGAATAAAAAACATGATCAGACGCCTATTCTGCTTGGTTAAACAATGTTACAATTGCTTAAGCTAAAGTCAGTACAGTAAAGTATGACTGAGTTAAATTGCAAAATGGGTCCCACGTGGAGCCAAATTTATTGTTTATTTGTTCAGAGTTAGAGATGAAAATGCTTTTTAGATTCTATAATTACATGCAGGAAGAGACACAAGATAAAAGAAGGTAATGAATGAGGTAATATTAATGCCTAAATTGTTTATATCGGAGCTTTAGACGCCTTGGAAAGCTCGGATGTTCACTTAACTATTAAATATCTGTTCCGAAAGCCCTAGAATTTTTCGAATATCGACAAGGCCTAATCTAAACCACAAAATATGCGTTTAAAAAGTATTTTTTGAAGATCCACTTCTAAAGAGGCCGGTATCTCCGATGTTACACATGTGCAATGGATTTCTTATTTTGTTTTAAATATTTAAAATAATGTAATTTTAATTTTGTTTATTCTTTCAAATTATTTATGCTTTATCTCCGACTTTACGCAAGTGTGCAAAATTTCAGATCGATTGGACAGGTGGAAGTGCGAACAATATCGATTATAAGATTTGTGGCAGACAAATAAACAGACAACAAGAAGTGAAGTTAAAGAGGAGTGTGGCAAAAAAATGGAGCGCACGCTCGAGTTGAAACTATGACAGAAATTTAAGTAAATGATGTTTATTTTGATTTGTCTCAGTCGTTTTATTATCAACTTAATTCATCATGATTTTTCATGCAGAAGCTGTCCATAGAATACATAGTTGTGGTGATAGTAGTGGTTTTGATAGGTAACCATTAAAGCCATTAATCATTTCGAAATTACAGTACTACTGAAGAAAATTAAAATTGCCTGCCTTCAAAATAACTCACAACTAATTAGTTCATTGCGATTGAAAAGAATGTTATAAAAATTGTTGTATAAATTGAATGTATATGAACGTTTAATTTTTATAAATACTTAACAAAAAACGTTTTATATGCGGTTATTGAATTACGAAGACAATAAAGCAATATTTTACGGGGAGGTATGAGGTGTAATTTCAAGGCCTAAGCGTGAAATAAAATTTTGTTTTTGAGGTGTAAGCAAGGTATACTATTATAATGTTCCTGCTGATGTGGGTGTATCAATGCATATTAAAACATTTGTCAGGATAGATATTAGTCTAATATAAATATATCTTGCAACAATACATAGACGAAAGGTGGCTTCGAAGGCGAAATCTTTCCGGATGAATCTGGACTCACGATGAGTGAATCTACGCGGTAGACTGTGCACATCACGCAAATAATTATAAAGAAATATTCACTTCTAAATAATATTTAGATTAAATAATACCTGGCATATCAGAATTAGAATGATAGACGAAAGAATAACATTACGAATTTTTTCTCATTTTCAATTATAATAAAATGCTTCCTATTAGCTCGACTACGTGTATATTGTCCATCAATAAAACCGTCTGACTAGAAACTATATTTTTATTAATTGAAAATGCGAATATTTTAGCTAGGAAACAATTCAAAATGAACACACAATTTGTCACTATCTTTACAGAGGTAATTCCTTTCTTTGTCAGATGAGAGTGATAAGTACAGTTGATTTCTAATAATACTTGTTTTACGTTATTTTAAACAAATTTTTTCCAAGAAAGATGGCAGTACGAAGTCTGGTTCTTGTTACAAATAATCAAAGAACTCATAATACAGTTATTGTTACAGGTAATCAGAAAACTCATTAAATAGTTATTGTTTCTAAGCTTAGTAATGCAGGGATTCCTACATCGTTTTCTCGCTTTAAATTTATGATTACCATAATAGTAAGTAATTATGTCAAAAGATCACATAACTAGCAAGTTCTCCATTTTTTCGTAGGTCTAGCCTCCACTGGTATCCTATCTATTTTGATACCATGAAACTTTCTCACGGGGCTAAAATAGTTTGATTGATTACCAAGATTTCCATGGTTAACTTGATTACTTTGATTCTATTTATCCAGTTGAAAATGAGTAGATAAAAGTGAGACAGTGACTTTTACTGACTAACTGAAGGAAAATTCGTTTTTACTCATCCACAAGTTAATAAACTTTTGTTTTCAATTATTAATCTGTATATTATTTATTAATATTAATTAATACAAATAATACAAATAATATCAATTAATACATCAATTAATGATATGCTTCACACACCAGAACGGTGTGTTCGTAAAAATATCCATTTTAGCAGTTCATTTTGTTACGTCGAAATTAAAATGCACTTCGTTCCCTGTCTCTTAAACGAAGGGTATTATTAACTCCATTTTCTGCTATGCTAACCCAAGGTTGGATGAAAATTTGAAATAATTAATATTTCAATATTTGAGCATGATGAACATTTTTGGAACAGGCTATGATAATAATTATAGACCATCCGGAGAAAAAAGTGCGTTCAAATGACTCGCTTGGAAGAGTGCAAAACTCGTTCAGGCAGCAATTCGCTTTTAGAAAGTCTGCCTTCAACGAATATCTTCAATTATCTGATCAATTCTCACGCCACAGTTGATGAAACTGATGCAGTTTATGACCGACACAGTTTTTGAAAATGATGCAGTTTGTGACCGGCACACTTGATATAAATGATGCAGTTTATGACCGACACAGTTTTTGAAAATGATGCAGTTTGTGACCGACACAGTTTTTGAAAATGATGCAACTCAATTGTTGACGCAGATCAGCTGATGACACTCAATTGTTGACGCAGATCAGCTGATGACGCTCAATTGTTGACGCAGATCAGCTGATGCCACTGGGTACTCTGATGGCTGATGGCGCGAAGGAGGCGCTGTAGGAGGAACGCTTGCATGGAGTCTGCAAAAAAATTATTTCGGCGAAGAATGACACAAATGAAGTCGAGAAATACAGTCAAAAATTTCAAAAAGCTGATAAAATAAATTGATATCGATTGAACAAATTCATAAAATTGATAATTAAATCATAATTAATCTGTAGAATTGCTAATTGAAGTCATAAATATTTTTCGAATGACTGAACGAGTAAAAACATTTGGTAGTGATAAGACCATTAAAATATTTCGATCAAACATGTAAAACTTAGAAATATTAAGAAGCAAAATTCATGACCACACTCGTTAAAAAAATATTACGAAAAGTATTTAATACCAGTTTCCTCTTCTATCAGTACAAAAATAGCATATCCCTACACCACCTGCTACAATTGATTTGTAGAGACCCGAATCCTGAATCGTAGAGACCCGCAGGAGAACACGCGATAACTGCAGATGCCAAATCCAAGGAAAATTAAACAGTTGTCGATGCAAGTCCACCAGGGCTCGCTAACCGCCGATGCAAATCCACCAGGAGTTAGCAGCTGCCGATGTAAGTCCACCAGAGCATGGCAGCTGCCGATGTAAGTTCATTGAGACTTGGCATCTGCCGATGTAAGTCCACCAGGACTTGGCAACTGTCTATGCAAGACCACCAGGACTTGCAACTACCTATGTAAGTCCACTGAGACTTGGCAGCTGCCGATGTAAGTCCACCAGGAATTGGCAGCTGCTGATGCAAGTCCACCAGGACTAGATAGCTGAGATGAAAATTTTTGAGGTGCTGTGCGGAACTCGCTGGGGAAGATTGTCTGGAAAACAATATTCATGTCACCGTCGCATGAGTAATCACCTTCCATCGATACTGGCTGGACAAATCAGATGTTGGGCAAGTCTAGAGTCATCATTTGAAACGAATAAAATAGTCTCAGGGGATGGGTATCATTTTAATTAACGGTATTAAATCAAACGTTTGATCACACACTTGAGTCAACAATGATAAAAATCGAAGAAGTGACAACAAAAAATCTTTTAAATTTTGAACAAAATTTCTTCTTATGCAAAAGGAGAGGAAATATGAAAAACAGTCAGTAGGGTAACGTGGGGCAGCGCGCCCCCCACTTTTTTTAAACTAAATTTTTGATGAAGTTTTAATTGATACGAGGTGGTTCTTTGTTTTGTTTAAAGGTGCAACTAATGAGGAATGTATGATGTGAATTAGATGCCTATAGAGTTATTCGATTTTTAATGAAACACTATTTTGTAAAAAGTGTCAAAATGGGCCCATTGCCCCACCCCTGGGGCAATGGGCCCATGGGCTTGGGACAAAACACCCACCCTTGGTCCCTTTACCACAATTGCATATTTTTCGTTTAAAAATGATAAAACAACACTTTACAGTTAAAAATAAGAGAAATGTAATAAAAAAAATGACATTCATTCATTTATTAACAACTCAAAAATCATATCCATAAACGCAAATATTTAGCAAAACGTAAATCCGTACACTTCATCCCAGTGAAACTGTCGACCGGCGGTAGAGAACACGGACCAATATCTGCCATACTTAGCGAGAAACCCGCTATGGGCCCGTGACCCGCAGTGGGCTCGCTGCCCCATGTTACCCTATTGATAGAAGGTGAATCGTTCATCAAACACATTTATGTAGAGATTCATATTCACTATGAATGATGAGACATCTGGCAATAATGCTCAGTTAGGAACAAAATATATGTTCAGCAATCATCAGAAACCAGAGAAACGAAAGCATTTGTCATCATATTGAGGAAGCATACATTGTTCCGTTACGAAATCGAATATTATGTCTCGGGAAAATATGACGATTGAATACCAAGATCAATAACTGCGCAATCAATCGATCGGCGATGATTTCTCCATCATATTTGAACTCATATCAGTGATTGCGACGTCCGAAATAACTTGACAATACACTTCAGGCGCAAGAAAAAATATCCAAAGTTACTGTTTTTTTACTGCCATTCACTTAGTATTTCTCACATCAGAATTCACGGCCTGGTTGTTTTCAAAAAAAGTAGGTATATAAGTTTTTTAGTTAGTGAAATGTATGTTCACATCAAACAAATATCTCAGTTATACTGTTCTGATTAAATCCGTTCATTGGCACTTTCATGTTGCTAATTCAAGTTAATTAAAGAAATCTTCTGGCATAAATTAAACATTTTTACAGTTATAGTAACTTTGAACGCTTCTTTTCAGGAACGATATCACTTTCCTTTCAGGTCCGGAAAAAATATAAATATATTTCTTACCTTACACTGATGGAACAGCACGATGGATACCTTAGAGTCAACATCGATTAAATTCCAATGTTGTAGCTCAAAATGCCACATAAAACAGAGTGGATCTATCAAATGGAAAGAGTTCACGAACATTCAAAGAAATGAATAAATCATTTAAACTGAAATAAAATTGTTAAACGTTAATGCGAGGAAAGCTCTTTGTGTGTTTTCATCACCACGGTGCTCTATTTATACTGAAATTATGCAAAATAAAGCTGCTAAATTTGCACTAACATCATAAAAATCCTATTATATACTCAACCGACGACGAATATATAATGAGGGGTTTGGAACTTGTTGTCAATCTGCCGAGGGCTGAAGGAAGTCGTAGTAAGGGTCATGCCTGTGCTCTAAAGTATACAAATTTAAAGGTGACATATATGGTGCTCATACCTAAAAGGGTTCAGGCTAAACAAATTGATATTGCCTTCGGTAAATGCACAGAAAAGGCGGAAGCATACATTGACTGGGAAACTACAGCCTGCGACGACGACGACATAAATTTCTACTCATTAAAAATATCTGTCAATAAATAAAATCAGACAAAAAATGGAGATAAATATACATTTACACTTAAAATTATATTTCTTGTAGTTCATTAGGCAATTTCAAAAAATTCCTGAAATATTCATCTCAACTTCCTAATCTTGACCGTATCGCCTTGCGGAAATGTTTGCAAATTTTTATTAATTTTTATGGATATTTCTCAGTGAGGGAAATTGCCAAAGAAGCGATAACATATGAACAAATCAGCCTGATGATGAACATTAAATATATTTATCATATTCGATAACTAGGAATTATTATATTTAGACTAACAATAAATTTTTTTGGAGAAGAAAAACAAACCCTGAGTCAACGACGCAAATATTTTATTATTTTGCAACTTTTTACCTCACGAACGGCAGTGCAATTCAAGAGGTTCAGTGCAGCTGGAAGCAATGCAGTGAAGAAGCGTATCGCAGTGCACGAGATTATAGAATTTTGTGAAAAATTCTTGAAAAACAATTTTATTACATGCTTATATTTGATAAATCTCGGTTGGAAAATAAATCGTTTAATCGATCTTCGTTTAAAAAAATAGAAGCTGTGTTTAAGTAAATCAATAAGTACTTAAGTCCGTGACAATTACTTTAAGCTACATTTTTTATTAAATATAACATCACCATGAGAGTAAATGTGAGAATAATTACAAAAAGAGATTCCAACACGTAATGGCATATCAATTTTTCAAAATAATTCATGATTCTCTTCGTAAACTATGAATTATTGAATCCAGAGAACCATAAAAAACATTTGAAATGCAAAATAACACCGGTGGTTATGATAAAATGCCTATGTAATACGTAAATGTTTGTTGGATGTAAACAAGTTCACGTTAAGTAGTTCCTTTAATGAATTTCATTTAAATCAAATTCAATTTTAGTGGCGCACTGTAGATATCGCTGATCGAAGGTTGATATCTTGCACAAAGACTTCTTGGGTGGACTTCGATAATATCCTTATAGTAAAGTATTTTCGGCATTGAAGACTAGGTCTGTATAGGCCTTGTGACATAAACATGTCGTGTTATAGGCTCGCAGTCTTCTTTGCTGTCCAGCACAACGAGTAGAAAAATTCGCTATGATTACGCTATGACCGGAGGCTCCAAGTGATCTGTCTTCGGCGATATTATAGAGCACCTCATTAAATCATCCTATGGGAGTAAAGCAAAATTATATGTATGCTTGATACTCAGGTTAGTAACATCGGTGAAAGAATACTAGCCGCTGGACATGAGTGCAAGGTATAAGAAATTAAAGTTAGACAAATGCAAAAATCATAGTAAATATCGGTAAGGAAGAAGGAAAAGATTAAAATTTTAGCATCTGAACAGGCTTGGTTATAAAACAATGATTTCGATGCACTGTAAACCAATTTTTTTTCATCCTGTATGAATGGATTAAAATAACAAGCAACAATGAATCAACGCAACTTTCAAGATAGTTAGGTAATCTGCCACTTCGTCTATGATTAAAACAGAAAGCCAGGGTTTTCATGTTAAGAATAAAGTGATTTTATGGTCAATTATAGTATACCAGTTGATAATATGAAGGTTCCATTAGCTGAAAATGACTCAAATCTAAAATTAATAATGGGCAAATTACAGGGCACTCTGAGAATTTAGACATTTTGGTATGTTACTTCTAAAAAATGCGTGGGTATAACTTGATGAGTGGTTTTATACATATAATTTTGCCATATGATGATTAAAAATGATGAGTAAAATATTAATATAGAAGAGCAAAAATCATTATTTAGTCATATTAGTCGGCTGTGGCACTGACCATGCTGCTAAAACTTCACTACTATTAAAATCAATGCTTGTTCTGTTGGTGCAGCAGTCAATGTGACGAAATTTCGACGGGAAATTCTGTAAGAAATTCCATGAGACTTCAAATGTTGTGAAATGCGTCACAGCCATTAGGTTATTGCTCCATATTTCGGCGCATTGTTTGCCCAATGTCATATTTCAGTTAGACGACATAACACTCTTAGGCAAGTTGAATTTCAGAATTACTGTCACGTTCTGAACGTAAGCGGAAGTTTTGTTGTAACATGACTAATAAGATTGGGCGGCTGGAGACAGACAAGCCATGCAGATATACTTTATCCTATTGATCTGTAGAGGCCGCCATGCAGGTTTTACATCACAGCCGAATAACGGCAAATTTGACTTTACATTTGGCTGGAAGGTCTGTAGCTAAGGCACGTATAATAATGGTTTAGTTATTCTATTGGCTAAACATAATTTATTTTCACGTAGAACATATAATATTTATTAGATATGTTATCAAATAACAACGTGGATATAAGTTCTCGACGGTTCTTCACGATGTAATGGAAATGAATGAATTATTAAATGCTTTTAATCTAGCAGTTAGATTTCGAATACCTAAATGAAAGACTAGAATTACTAAGTTAGAATCGTCGATTCATGTGTCTTGCAAGTGGTTTTATTATATGTATAATATTATTATTACGGCCTAATATTTAACACGGAATGTGACTTGACAACAAACTTTATTGCTTGAATCATATTCTATTAAATAAACATGATATTCCACAACATTTTTATACAATTAGCAAGAATTTAAGGGGGGTTCTCCTCCATAAATCATAGAAATAACGTTTTCTGTGTTTTTAATCTTATTTTGAAGGGAGAATTATTAAAATTCGGCAGCAAAAAATCCGAGAGTAATATCTACCGTAGTTTTTTTTTAAAGCAACTGTGAACTTTTAAAAAATGACCATTTTATACCCATAGTTCATAAAGATTTCCTTAATTAAATCTGCATTGGACTGAGCTCATTTTGTAGCTACGGAGAAGACGCGTGCGTCTTGCGCAGCCAATTTTATTTCTGTGAGGGTTTTAATTTTTGCATTAGGCCGTTTTGAACTTTAAAAAATGAAAATTTTATGCCAATATTTACAAATATTTTCTCTCAAATGGTAATTATAGATCATTATTGTAAAATGGTAATTGCAAGGTGTTGGCACTTATTTTGATACTGCAACAAAGGCGCGTTCAACATAGCAAGTACCTTGAATTTGCATGTAATTCTTTTTGTGGAAGGCCTCTTGAACTTTTACGAAATTTTATATAAAAGCATATCTTAGAAAAATCACGTTTACTGCCTGTTATTTGCGTTAAAGTGGACATGAATAAATCTAAAGACGCTTGATGGTACCCTCAATACGAGAAATTGGCAATGGGAAAGCTACCTATGGCTAATGTATCAAGCAAGTTTTTTTTAGCATTTCTTCTTCTAATCTATCTCTCCCTACGATTTTGAAGCTATAGCATTGAGAGACATATCATTCGATTTTTAAAGAGAATTTCTATCGACTATATATATATGCCCTTTTTTCTGATCGGTTCATGGTTTAGATTATCTATAGACAAAACTATTCGGAGGTGGGGGTAAAATGGAAAAGTCGTAACAAAAAAAGTAAAATTAAAAAAAATGCATATAGAGTCGACAGATATTTCCTTTACGAATCGAATGATATGTCTCGATGTTGTATAGCACGAAAATTGACGGCTGAGATTTGCAAACCTTTTTGCCCTTTAGTATGCATTTGACCTTTGCTTCTAATATTTTCGAAAAACTCATGGAATAAAAATTTTTTTTAGTGATTTACATATGCATACGAAGTTTCAGAATGATCGATCATTGTGCCTATGAGATAATTTTGAGAAAGACCCTCTCCTTAAGCTTGAAAAACGTGTTGACTGCTACGTGAAAAATTCCCCGGATCTATCGTTTGGATGCTGGATGTATTTTGAGTGTCAACTTCAGAACGATCATTCACATTAACTCCACTTTACCGCCGACGCACTGAAATGCATTGTAATACATTCATCTCTCTTGCGACGATAGCAATGCTATTATAGTGATGCGATGCGACAGTAAAATGTGTTGCTACATTTCGCTCTAACAAAACTCAGTTCCTAAATATAAATTCATTAATATGAGGATAATCTGTAATTAAAAATGTTCTTAGATTAGCCACTTGATATTGAGTAACATTCAGTTCATGTAAGCATGCGTTTATTGCGACAAGCTTCTAAATATTGCTTGCTTAACTGAAAATAGTGCTACTGAAAAAACAAATGAAAAGCAAACAATTTCGAGACTCTAATACATCTTTAATAATTCAGCAGAAGCGTCTACAGTAAAAGTATTTGAATTTACAATATGCATATATGTGGATATTTGAAAAATTAAATAATTATATATGACACTTCTATAGCGAACGACAATAATGAGCAGAAACAATTGTTGGTGCACGTCAACGACACAATAGAAATTAAACAGCAAACCAGACGCACTTCGAAGAGCTTTTGGTGTGTAATTATTATTAAATATTAGGAACCGAGGTGGCTAAGCTAAGATTAGGTATTATTATTATTAAATATTAGGAACCGAGGTGGCTAAGCTAAGATTAAGTATTATTATTATTAAATATTAGGAACCGAGGTGGCTAAGCTAAGATTACCTCTCATGAGAACGCTGTTCCAGCAGGTGCTAGGGCCACCACGCGGACCAAGCGTGTTAGGAACGGTGAGCAAGAAACTGCGAGGTCCACTCGATCTGAAATAAACCTCGGATTATTGAGAATAAAAGTAATTAGCGATGCGACATTTTCAGGATGGAATAAAAAAATATAACTCAGTACTCACAGCAGTGAGTGACAGAGAGCGCATTTTCTCGTCTACGAAAATGTGAAGTCACGGACGGACAGACAGACAGACGGACGGTCATGGCGAGCACAATAGTGCATTGTTTCCATATTGAGCAAATGCGTTAAAAAGACCGAAAAATGAATATAGGCGGGTTCAAACGGGAGTTATATTTTAGACACAAAATATAAGATTTTGAGGTTCCGTTTTCAGGACAGTTTATGCTAAAATTCAGAAAATACAAACGTATATTGATATAAGCTTCTGTTTAAACGGTTATAAACGAAGATTTATAATAAGAAAAGAAGCTTGTGTACAGAATATATATATACATGTACAAATATATTTAGAATATATAGAATTTTTGCAAAGCATTTATACAGATTTTTGCAATTAATTTGATTTCACTTACTTGTTCGAATGAAGAGTTAGCACCAGATGTCTCCAGTAGACTTTCTTTTGAAGCTGCCAAAGTCGTCGAAGACTAAAATTTTCACGTTTCAATTTAGGCCAGTTAGGTCACAAAATTCCATTTTGCCATACTTTGTCATGGAATTCCAGGCCAATATTGCCAGCACTCCAGCGAACTCCAAAAGAATTGAATTCAACTTCGTGATGGAAGGAACTTAGGCATGCGGTGGAAAGCGTCCGGAGTTCACCCATCTTCTTTTTGATCCGCGTCAATTTCGGATACCAGATATGATGCGATTTGGCCGATTCTTTGTGAAATTTCAGCGAAATTTTCAAATTTCTGATCGTACATTACAATAAAATAGATCACATGATATTGGAAGTCCTAATGAAGCCTCCGATCTTCAGTGGAATGACTCACTTTTTCGCAGATAAAAGATGCAGAGCTCATGTTTGTGTGTAGGTGGCGTGAACATGTGAGAAGGTGGACAGTCGTAAGCAACATGCAAGATATTCCTTGACTCTTCACACCAATGCCCTACTCAACAACACAAGTTGCATAAAAAGTCAAGGAACATCGCAAAAAAGCTTATTGAATCATCATTGGTTTTGTTCAGAGTCCCATGGTTTCGGGCGAGCTACACTAACTGTCACCGCTCCTCCCCTATACATCAAGCCACAGTCAAACCCTGCCAACATATCATTTATGGCTGCCAAGATGCCATGACAAGTAATGCAAATGCAGATTATAGTTTCTTTCAAGCTGGATAAGCAAGGAAATAGGTAACCTTAAAATGTGCATTAGGAATCTGGACATGATTGAAAACTTGAAGTATGTGAATTTTAAGGATGACAAAGAAGTGCCGAATTTCAAATGCAATTTCAGAAATATATCTATATATTCTATGTTATTTGTCATTATATTTGAGGTAATCAAGCAAGTTGGGGAGAGTATATCTCCGAAGTTTGACAAAGGCGTTGAGCCACTAATTCTACCGTAGAAATAAGTAAATTCGGCGTGAACTGTTTTGTCAGAACCTGCCAATTCATGCAAAGACTATCACTAGAAGTAAAAATAATAACATTCAGTAACAACAACAAGTCAAAAATGCTGATACCAACTGAGGCATCTCACTTTAATTACGAAAGCACATGCTTGAAAAATATTTAAAATAATCAAATATTGTGTAGAACGTCTTTACACGGATAAGTATTCAAAACATTTTACTTGATTTTTTACCACATCCGAAGAATATTAATTCTAAAATATAAGGGATCTCAAAATTAAAATACTTCTGTAACACAAAAAATTAAATCAAGAACTCTAATTGCGTCAATACATTCAAAATTGACTCACAGCTCATATAATTAATTATATTGACACATTAGCCATGCGATAGATAAACCATTTTAGTTTGTAACACTAGATCTAAGACAATTTATATAAACATTAATTAACGATGAAAAGCAGCATGACATTCTCGTGAGCATCACATCAGATGCAATCGGAGTGAATATTTCTATACTACAATTTAAAAATCAATCCACGCTTTAATAACTCAGATCAAGATCAAAAATTATTCATTATACACCCCCATAAGCACGCTCGGTAATTGTAATTGGACTAAATTTCAAGCATTATTCTATTGTTACAGATAGCCCTAGATTCATATTTAGCTATTATACCTCTAGGGATAAATGGTATAATTTTTTAAACATTATGCATTTGTCATTAAACTAACTGCATTACTGCACGCAATCAAAGGACACTTCCAGCTCAGAAAGTTAAATTATTCCGTCAACATTATGCTTTAGACTAGAGAATAATAAATTACATTTTGAAATATAAGGCTTCAGGAATTCAAAACTGATGTTTCGTAAAAAACATAAGGAAATTCAAATATTTCTGGCAAGGCTTATTAAATGGGGACAAGGCTGAGAAATTCTTTAGAAGGCACAAAAGAAGCGGATTCGTAACCGAACGATTCTTCCCGAAAAAATCATTGAATAAAGCGGTAAAATTATCATTATAATTTACAAATTAGGGCACTCTGTGGGATGAATCTTAGGCTTCAAACAAAACAATAAATCAAGGAAATTAATCTTTCACTTCAAGAGGGAAACTCATGAGATATCGTGGCGAATTTATCCGCAACTTCACTTGAACTTCGGCAAAGGGACAACTGAAATCTGTAAATATTGATACTCGGCTGTCCACTTCATGTATAACGTGGAGGCAAACCATTTTGTTCTATGAAACTTATTCAAGGTTAGCGAGTTGAGTTAATCAAGGAAAATGTTTTATCTATGGTAAAATTTAAAAGTTTATCTCAGGCCTCGACTCCAAGTCACGAGCTTGTGGAAGGCCACAACGGCCATAACCGAAAGCGGCCAAGTCCAGAGCAGCTGGAGGCTGTGGACAACCATCAGTGACACGACGTTGCTCATCATAAAGAAACAGTCACTTACATAATGTAGACAGCAATGCAATAGGTTTGTGTGCACACAAATCATGCCTGCGATAAAATAAGCAGAAATAGTGCACACTCCAGGGACATTGAAAGAACGGTTGTTACGTATTGCCAATTTCCATGCAGCGTCTGGGTGCCCCGGTGACGAAACAACAACACTCATGCTCTTCAGAGTGACACAGCAAAGCATAACTATAATGATACTCATGCTACTACTACAGGTCTCTATTCCCTGTAAAATAAAGCTCATGGTACCAGCTAGCCATGATTTAGATACAAGAAGAAGCATTTTAGAAGTACTGGGAAGCGAGGAGACCAAAGCAGAAGGTTGAGGTCTGCCTTGTGAAGTGCTGAAGAGGAACGAAAGAAGGGCGGGAGGAGCGGCGTTGCATAGGTCCTCTTCACAAAAGCACATGTGGCCACGACCGTTACTTTCACGCATACAAACGTGATCTACCATAAACAGTTTGATCTGCATCTTATCCGTGCACGTTCTACGGATGGAGGCATAAGCTGAAAAGAGAAAATAAGTAAGAGTTAGTTATAGGTAGCGCGATATTGCCCTAGTGAATACAATTGTTATGCCTGTGCTGGATATTAAAATATTTTCTCGTTCTAGATGTAGCTATTCGGGGCAGACCTTTAAAGAGCAAGCCATGATTTTCTTAAATTCATTTTCGTGTTGCTTCGACTTTCTTCGCCTCTTTGCAAACAAGTCTACTTACTAAAAAGTTGCACAAAAATACAATTCACATTTATTGCGTATTTTTATAGCTTAGTCGTGTGGTGGAAGCATCACAATGGCAATGGTCGTATTCTTAAAATGATCTTGGATCAAAGGTCACATGTCCTTATGAACCTTACTGGAATTTATTGGTTTAATGACGAATCTAAATCTGTCTAAACGAATATTTCTAAACGAAAATTGATACACTATTTTCAATAATTTGATATAGAATCAGCATTGCATTATTCCAAGATATTTCACGTGCTTTTCAACCCCATGAGCAACGCTATAGGCAGGAAGGTGCGCCGAGACTACTATTTAAATTATATTAAATTTTGTACCATGGGCCTTTATCTGCGCTAGAAAATTCCACCATAACATATTTTTTTCCTGTACATGGCAAGCCTCGCCAGGGGCTGCTAGTCTAGTCGTGCGCGAGTCGCAATGCAGACGCGGCGACGTAGTTGCTTGGCAGCGCCGGGCGGCAGTGGCAGCGATCAATGCGGACCACGGCGCCGACTCACGACGCGTGCTGCCTTGAGTGATTATTTATTTTACGGGCGCACATAGTGATTAGAGTGGACCCAAAACGTACGCATTATTATGATCATTTCGTGCTCCGTGAATCGCAGTAGAAGTAATGCCTATTTTGCGCGCTTCCAACTGGATCACGGGACTATTTACCTTCTTGTAACTGTTATCATCCCCGCCAGTTGGGGCCAGGGCCGCTGTTCATTCAATAATAAACAACATAGCCGCAACTGCAAATCGGAATGGTTGACAACCATTGAAACAGTGTTCTTTGTTTATTTATAATAAAATATCTTCGGACTTGACATGCAGTAATTTTTCCCTCTGGCTGAACAATCGTTCCCTGGAAATTTAAATCAAAATACGTTTTAACGTTGATCTACTTTAAATTCCGAAATAATAGGATAGATTTAAACTGACTTACGATCGCGATAAACTATTGTCACGCTAGAAATACTGGATTATCTTAAATATCAGCACTGATACCGTGTAGACTGATAATTAAATTTTCCAGTGGTATTTTATTGAACTCACGAGTTCCAATATGTTGGACGAGTTTGACACAGCAGCCATCGCACTCCTCAGTAGGCGGTTGCTTGGCGCGGGGCAGCGTGAAGTTGAACGGGTCAGAGCAGCGCGGGTCCGTCCACGACGAACATTCGTAGCACATGATTTGACCTGACGAGGCGAGTTGAAAATCTATATGAATATATATATATATACTTTTATATGAATATTGTCCTATCTATATGAATATTGTCCTCTATATATGAATATTGCCCTCCATATGAATATTGTCCGCTATATGAATATTGCCTCTATATGAATATTGCCGTTTATATGAATATTGCCCTCTATTTGAGTATTGCCTTCTGTTTGAATATTGCCGTACAGCAAATTTTAGTTCAGACCGAAAATTTATGATTCATTATTTGACCTGTTGGTAAATCCAGTCACATATCTTAGGATTGAATCAAGGAAGTCAGAAATCAATACGTAGTGGCAAGTATTCAGAATTTATAATAATTTTGTATACCTTCAGTAGGTGAAAATATTCTATCACAATGAATTTATGGTTATTACACTATAATAGCTAAAGTTACAATAGAAAAACACGATAATGCCGAATTCCATTGCAAGCAATATGATGACGTGCAAATTACTTAGCTTTATTATTTTAGGTCCTTATCTACAGTTTGAGACCAGAACATTCACGGAACGCTTACCTTTGAAATAAATTAGTATAGTATCTTCGGCATTAAATAAATAGGCCTGGATAGGCCTGGATAGGCCTGAATATTGCCCTCCATATGAATATTGTCCGCTATATAAATATTACCCTCTATATGAATATTTATAAATATGAAGTTAGTATAGAGCATTTACAGTAAAGTTGAGTGCTCGAAAAGTTAGAATTTTACTAGGAATTTCAGCAAGCAAGATACATAAACCTTTTGTAGTTCCTTTATATTTCTTTCACTTTACCGAGTTTTATCTAGAAAATTGCGAAGTGATTCTAAACACGAATAACAATGCTACATAACTAGCGCAGCGTTCGTCCCAATGATAATTGCATACTGATTACAATTGCACTGTAGTTTGCACGCAGTGATCTGAAGACTGGATTCGCTGTGCTGCAGACTGTACAGTGTAAAGTACACAGTGGTCGGCAGACTTACCTCGCTGTACTGAAGATTACACGCAGTGGTCTGTAGACTTCTTTAAATGTACTGAAAACAGTACAAAGTTAACTGCGCTCTCATTTTTACACAAGACTGCAGTTGCTGAAATGAACGCTGTTTTCATTGTACCGAAGACAGTATTTCTGAACTGCAAACGTCAATCACTTAGCAAAAGACTATCCTTCCTTAATTCAATTGCTTACTAAACTCACATCACACTAAATGAAGTACAAGCTGTTCGCACATTGGCAAAAGGCTACAACCAATGTACAACACAGTGCAGATTTATCACACATCACCTCATGAATCACTCGTTGTTCATACCTCGCTACATGTTACACCTTATGAACTACGCGCAGTCCTCATCTCTCTTAACGCTACACCTTGCCTGAGACTGTACCCATTGCACCAGAGACCACTCACTGCACCAGAGACCACTCACTGCACCAGAGACCACTCACTCTTCAGAAGACTGTACTCACTGCACCAGAGACCCCACTCTGCACCAGAGACCATTCACTCACAGCACCGGAGACTGACTCACTGCACCAGAGACCACTCACTGCACAGTAGACTGTACTCACTGCACAGTAGACTGTACTCACTGCGTCGCACACTGTACTCACTGCACAGTAGACTGTACTCACTGCGTCGCACACTGTACTCGCTGCACAGTAGACTGTACTCACTGCGTCGCACCCTGTACTCACTGTGACATTCGCCCTCACCTCGCACTGAGTGCATTAGTGCCAGCACTGTAAGACAAGAATTTACAGTTATAGAAATATCGAAATACAGACCGTGGGTTGTGAATACATTAGCTCAAATATGTCAACATACAAAATTGCAAAGTATATCATACTATAAGGATTAAATGTACATAAAAGGCAGTAAATTCCATATAAAAAACCTTGCCTGACTCCGATCATTGAGATTCGTTAACCAAAATTCATCATTTAATCGTCATTATTCACATGAAAAAATTATTCCACAAAGATTCTTTGGAATTTTTAGTCCAAGTTTTCATCGGGTATAACTTCAGCAGAATGCATTTAATTAATTAAGGTTCAACGCCGATCACTGAGATTAGTTAACCTCATCAGCCGATAGGTATCGTTTAATCGCGATTATTCACATGAAAAAATGATTCCGCGGAGATTCTTTGGAAATTTCAGTCCAAGTTTTCATCGGGTATAACTTCATCCGAACACATTTAATTAACCACGGTTCAATACTTTAGTAGGTCAGGAAAGGGCATCAAGTCAGATGTTGACATGTCAGGCAGATGGTACGGAGCTGGCAAGCAGCCAGACGTACAACACGCTTCATAATTCAAAATGACATTGAAAATGACGTCAACAATATATAGTACGGTTTAATTAGCCACTTGTTTAATAAAACTCAAGTGTTTATGACAGCCGAGTTAAGAAGTATTTAAATGGTCATTTTTAGATCGATAGAGCAAAAATTCTACTGTAAAATGAGATTTAAGCTTCTTTCTGGAGGTTTCTAAAGCAAGACTCCTGGTGCTGCTGTTCCTGTCGACAAATTTTCTGCCGTTAAAGAAGCGTTGTAAGCTGCCAAAGAACGTTCGGCGTTCAGGTACCGTGTGAACGTTTATATTTATTGCGTAAACGTATTTAAGTAAGTAACTCGCACGCCAGGTCGCGCATTCATTCGATGAGCCAAAGTTAGATCAGCAACCAGCGCGCATTCAGTGCTTTATGAAATTTTCTGTTCAAATAAAAATCGAATAACTGAAAATATAACAATCAGAAAAAAAATAAAACTTTTATATATTCCTACAAACGAAACGACGTACCTTATGTAATTCACCATGAATTGGATTTATTGCGCAGAAGTAAAAATGCCGGGAGTTAACAGACCTTCTATTGTTTATTGTTTATTGTTTATTCACAGAGGAGCACACAAAAATATACATAACAAGAGACCATAAAATTTTGAAGAAAAAATACAAATTGCTTCCTTGTGAATGCCAATGCCTATATAAGCTAAAAAGCTTCACAGGCGACATAGGCGAAATTACTCTCAATAGAACAATAACGTAATGAAACTGAGATAAGTCAATAGGAAACAGAAAGTGCCCAAAGTAAGAAGATCCTTATAAACTAACCCTTAATAAAACTGATATAAGAACAAGCAACTTGGCGACTAAAAATGAATATAACAAAGCCAATAACAACCTAATACCTAAAAGACAGATACAACTAAGACGAAAAGTCAAAACAATGTTGACTTACACCATAAAACCCCACCCCAGATTAGCAACGTGTTTGATAGTTTAGATAAGGACAATGAGCAAAAAAGCGTTCTTAATGATGGAAGAGGTAAAACACTAGATAGAGCACGCAAGACTCCGTGGGCTTTCTATATTTCCAGGCAACACAAATCATCCAGAAAAAAACAAGCATTCGCGCACACAATTTCTCAAACAACCATCAGAATTACACAAATAACATATTATTAACCCACCGAAAAATGCTAGCACGAGACAGCGTCGCAGCGCCATTGTGAGACGTGGCAGGAGTGATGTCTCACACTTGATGCAGCAACAGCGTTAAATAATTTTTCCTTTACAATAGCCTTTTTATTTCTACGTATATTTCTACCACTTATTTCTCGTTGAAACGTTCATAAACGCTTCAATTTATCGTTGCAGCTAAGAGTATACCGAAGCTACAGCGATGAATTTCCTTAATAAACTTGGTTTCTCTTCCAAAAATTCGTTCCCAATATATCGGCTATTTTCTTTTTGTTTTCCTCCCAAATCAGGATGAGGAGTGGTATGTCGTTTTGATCCTTTATTTTCGCAAATTTAACAAGACAATCACATTTGAACGTCTTTTATGTCCAGAATACTGGCAAGAAATGTTCTTTTTCTTTGCCTCAGTGAACGTCAACACAATCGTCCTGCCCCCGCCTTGCGACCAGGCAAACGTTCACACTTCGCTCGCGTTAGACCGGGACGGTCAGCTGAGAATCCTAAGTCCAACTGCTAATCAGCGTCGTGCACGGAGCCCAAAAGTTAGTCAACAGCAAGACTTACAATATGGCTTGTGTGGTATCCAACTTAGAGCCCGCTGATCAGGAAACATCAGTTGTAAAGCTAAGGATTGTCAGACGAAGACCGCCCGAGCTAACTGAACGATTGTGGACATCACCCGGAAGTTCGTTACGTGCGATTCTATTTGCTAAGATTATTTGCTCGTATAATTATGATAATGTTCGATGTTACTCGGAAACATGAATTTAAATCAATTGTTCCATTGGATTTTGTCACTTGCACAGGGAAGTTTGCATCTAAATTTCAGTAGTGAAGGAATCCTGAATTTGCCATTCCAACTGTTGGAAATTTCACATGAAACACAAGTTACTTCTTCCCATCGATATCTGATACACAATATGGCGTAGAGCGCTTCGAAGTCTCGTATCTTGGGTCAAACTGTACGTCGTGCTATTTATATGCGTTCCCAATTTGATCAATACTGAATTTATTTAGTTCAGCCTGACTCTGTAAAAGAAGAGTTCAGAAAATTTTTGTTGAGTAAAATGCGAAAAAAAAACTAGTTTGCTGACAAATTTGTATTACTATTATGAGATAAATATGATTCGCCCTAGCCCTCCGTTTTCCCAATTATTCCGAAAACAGTTCCTATTTATATTATTATTAAATGAGTAGAGCAGATTAAATGTTAATATCTCATACATTATTACTCTACGGAATTACTTGTAAATAGCCTAATATTATTACATAACTCATGACAAATGTCGATAGCATCGTTACTTCTAATATTGTTATTGTTAGCATTTCATAGCTATCAATATAATAGTTATGATAATAATAATGTTAATGATCATTATAATTATAATGATAATGTTTGAGCAGGAGTATCAGACTATATTTCGGTCGCAACTTCTTTATTATTATTATTAATAATAATTATTTATATTTCTAAATTAAAATATTATTTATTTATTTATTTATTTCAGCAGTGGTATTGCCCAACAATGACCTGCGACCTGAATTACTAAAAAAACAACTCACAAAATAACAAATTAAATCAGAAAATGTTCAAATTCTTCGGCACTTGTTCCACGTTATTTTGAAGATTTAATATTCATATATATTTATTATGAATAAGTGTAAGGTGAACAAACGGGAATTCATTAAGCCTAATGTGCTGAATAAAATAAGTAGTGATCATTAAAAAGTGCCGTTGTAGTATTGATTATGAAGAATTACGAGATGATAGTCACTCTACGGGACTTAACCTTCAATGATGGCAACATCGACACCAACGACGATGAGAAACATCAGAACAGCCAACTAAACAGGCAAGGCTGAAATGCTAGATATGTTTGTTAGATATATGTTTTGTTGCATTATATTATACTTGTATTATACAATATAACTTATAATAAGACACTTAAGTTCACAAATTGCTCATAACCATTGTATATTATATGGAATATACAATAAATAAAATGTGGATAGAACAACATTAGTCAACATAACGGAGGCAAATCAATGTATGACATAAAAATTAGACCAATTCCGAAATGCTCGACACGATTAAAGTCATATAGCCTAAATGATACTACAAAATATTTAATTTTTGTGACAATAATATTCGATGTAATAACGGCACAAAATAGCGACATACACCCACACGTCTCGACCGCTGACGCTACACTGTGAGAAGCGTTCGGCTTTAGCAGAGTTAGACGTGCTGCCTCGCTGCACCATTCGCTGCACCACTGCACCAACTCCACTGGTGCACTAGAGTCAAGTGCTACCAGCACTAATACTCTTATCCATAACGATGTAACTGGGCAAGCTTTACAAGTATCACTTATGAAGATTACCCAATGTGACAAACTAACTGACGTAAAATGTTACATTTCATTGAGAAAATTGCATGAGTCACGTTAAATCTAAGGTATTATGTTGTTAAAATTTAATTAATGTTAAAGGCAGCTATGATTTATCGGTTCTTCTAGCGGTATATGTATCCAATGACAACTCCTGCCAAGCAGCAGTGGTACTTAAATTCTGGTTTTAAAGTCCGAAGACTTTCCATAATTTTCTATCACGAGTTAATTTAGGGTAGACTGCATAAACTTGAATCGGAATTTTTTTCATTAAATTGGAATTCTTCTTCATAGAATGCTTGAAATCTATGCACAATGTAGATGCTACATCATCTATTTGCTGAAAATGCGCTATGTAGGCACATAGTCTACCCATCTTTCTCTATTATACGTTAAACGGAATTCACTATACCTTTAAAAAACGGAACCTTGGAACCTTTTGGAGATCCATAAGCAATATAAGTCGCGATGAAAAGCTATTCTTTTAAAATTTTTGAACATAATGAGCCCTGAAAACTTCCCATTGATATATTTTGGCAGCATTGAAGGATGTGCAATGATACGGATGATGTTGGACGGGGTTTCCACGATAAAATGATGTGATGTCTGTCGTAGCCTCATCATCACGGCAAACATCGCATCACCATCGCGTGAAGCTTCGTGTGGATCGTCTACGTTTCATCGTTGATTGAAACATCGCATGGATGAACGCTTCACGCGACAACACATGTATAAATTTTCATTTCGAAACGTTTTCAATATCGATATGGTGAATTTGCTTGGCGTTTTTCTTTTTGCGTTCAAATTTGTTATGAATTTTAAGTGTCGTATCGATGGAATATAAGAAAAGAGCGGCCAGTCG